AGGGAGAGGGAGAGGGAGAGGGAGAGGGAGAGGAGCCACCAAGGAGCATAGAGATGGCTGCAGCTGGACACCAAGAAAGCTGAGGGGCAGGCAGAAGCCCCACGTCAAACTAGCAGGAGCCTGTGGAGCTCCATTCAGTCAAGAACACGGACCCAACACGTGCAAGGCCCTGAACACCATGCTTCGCAAAAACAATCCAGAAGCAGGCAGGGATGAAACAGACCCATTTTCAGAGTGAGGGCCTTCCTGAGGAACGGCTGGTGCTGACCTGGAGATGGTCTCCAAATCATCCTAGGAGCTGAGAGGGAGATGAGATGAGACAAGCAGAACACACGAGGAGCTAAAGACTCCAGAAGGGGCGAGAACAGGAAAATGCCCAGGAGGAATGACGCCCAAGTTTGTTTAGATGGCCTACTTTTTAAATGTCTATATCCTTATTTATAGTTTATTTTGTTTGTCGATATGCCGGTGAGAATGTGAGCACACACCACAGCCAGAGCGAGGGCCCAAGGGCAAGTCTGAGGAGTCAGTCTTCTCTTTCATCATGGGGTCAAAGGGTCACCAGGCCTATGCAGCAAACGCCTTCACCCATTACCAGCCTTGCTTCTTTCTTGGAGGTTCAGATTGCCCAGGCTGGCTTTGAACTCCTAATCCTCCTGCCTTCACCTCACAAATGCTGGGTTTCAAACTTTTGAATTAGGGCAAACTTCTAGAAATTTTCGGTGGAAATTAAATTTCATGCCAAGAGTCCCAGTCATAAGGAAGCATGTCAGAACGAGCATTCCTGAGGTCCCCGCTCTCAGCATTCCAGGCCAGGGTAGGCAGCACAGACCTCATTTCAAAACAGAGCATTGGAGACATCAACGCAGTTGGTAGCGCACACATGGGCTCAGTGCTCGGCACCCCACAAACTGGCCATGCTGGTGTGGACTTGTAGCTCAGCACTCTGGAGGTGGGAGCAGGGAGGGCAGGAGTTCAGAACTGTCCTTGGCTATATAGGGTTCAAAGCCAGCCAGTCCAGGGTATATGAGACCCTGCCCCCGTTTCAAAAAGAATGAGAGAAAAATTATACACACACACACACACACACACACATATATATATATAGAAAGAGAGGGGGAGGGAAGAAGGAGGGAGGGGGGAGAGAGAGAGGGAGAGAGAGAGAGAGAGAGAGAGAGAGAGAGAGAGAGAGAGAGAAGAGAAGGGTTGGAGAAACTCTTAGAAAAGGGCATGTAGCATTCTAAGCTTACTCAAGGATACCAGCCCAGTTTATGGGCCCCTCCCTGCCAACTGCTGGCAACTGTCTTCTCAGCTGGGCTGCAAGAAATCTCGAAATCTCTCCCAGGATCTCTGTATTGATCCCCTGGCCGAGCCCGCCTAGCCAAGCCCGTGATGTGTATACTGTTCCTACCTGAAGCTCTCCCTCACACCACTACCAGGCTCCACAGAACGGCCCTCTTCTCTCAAACTATATCTCAGGTCTCCTGGAGACCTGGCCTGAGGCCTGACCACATGCCTCCCTCCACTGCCCAGTTAACCACCGGCTCTGAGGGCCCCTCACTCAAGACGCCAGCTCCTGCCTGTCTCTGTCTGGCCTCCTCAAAGCCCTGGGGGTCTCTTAAAAACTCTCAGAACTCTCAGGGTTCTTGTAACCCCCTTTATTTCTCTTAAAGCTGGCAGCCTGACAGACTGTGTAGTTATTCCTGCTGCTAAATTATTTATCTCTTCCCCTTTAAGGTGGCTCTTGGGGCCCACCCGAGGCCCGTTTTCCCTGCTTAAAATGAAGTCATTTAAAAATCTTTTGTCTTTAATTTTTTATCATCCAAACCAGGCATGTGGTCTTTTAAGTTTGTCAAGGGATCAGAACCTGCTGGTACTTAAACCCCACCTGGACAGGGACCCTCTGCACTGTCCCTAGCTCTGCACTGGGTGTTGGCCACCTTGAGCCACTAGTGACAGGAAATCGGCCGTCCCGGATGGAGGGCCAGGGTCAGGGAGGAGGCCCAACGGCTGTAGTTTTGAGGCTCCTCCCCGCCCATAGAGACCCATCGTTCAGCACACAGCTCAGCTCAACCATCTGGGATTGAGGCCAGGTGTCTACATGGAGCCAGCACCCTCACCCCCCACCCCCATCCCCACTCCCCTCCCAGTCAGGAAACAGGAGAGGCCCCACAAACTTGATTCAGAGACCTAAGTCCGGGATGTGCCAGAGGGCCCCACGTTGCCACGTGTACTGGCCACATTCACCAGTGCCTTGCCAGGTCCTCCTCAGATGACCCACCCGGGCAGCTGGTCCTTCTTTGGGGTGTGTCTCCAAAGCTGGACCAGCCCTCATTGGCTGTTTTCAAAGCCCAAGGGTGTGTGGGGCTCGGGCTTCAGTCTGGGGAATATGTCAGACAGGGTTTGCACCTACCTTGGGAATCCCACAGGATTCTCATGGATCCTGTGGGTAGCAGTGAGGGACGGTCTGTTCAGACACAGGAGCCAGAGGTGAGCCTCTGCATAGGGGTTCCAGAGTCAGGCCTCTCTCCTCCCTCCGTCCTCATTTGTCCCTCTACTTCTCCTAGTCAGGAGTCTCCCAGGTGACACTTGCCTTTTGTTTATTGGAGGGGTCACATGGGTGCCTCAGCCTCAAGTTAATCTCTTTTAATGTGTGTGTGTGTGTGTGTGTGTGTGTGTGTGTGTACGTACACATGTATGTGCTTATGTGTGCAAATGTGTGTGTGGATCAAAGGACAGCCTTGGATGCCATCCTCAGGAACATTACCCGCTCCCTCTGAGACATGGTTTCTCATTGGCCAAACTGGTTGGCCAGCAAGTCCCAGAGATGCTCTTGTCTCTTCCTCACCAGTGCTGGAGTTACGGACACATGCCACTATGTCTGGCATGTTTACATGGGGATTTAACTCGAGTCCTCTTGTTTGCAAAGCAACAGCCTTACTGACTGAGCCATCTCCCCAGCCCCTTGAGTCACTTCTTTCTGAAAGATAATGTATTACTGGAGGTGGGGCCTAGAGGGCAGGGAACCGGGAGTGGGCTGCTTGTAGAGAGCTCCCCAAGAGGAGACATAGAGAAGACATGACACACACATGTGTAGACCCTACAGTCTCTGCTATCCTGGGGCCCAGCATTTACCCCAGAACTGTTGGCCTCAGTTTGGGTGGAATCAATACCCAAAGAGGATTTTCAGAATACTCAGGTGCCCTCCTTTGCTCCCCACAGGCCTGATGGGACCACAGCAGAGCCATCGGCAGCTGCATATCTGGGTAGGTATTTAGATGTGGACCATGAAGAAGCCCATCATTGCAAAGGCAAACAGTGTCTGGGGGATGGGCCTGTGGGTGGTGACAGTGGTCCAAGGAAGGCGTGTGCTCAGGTATCCCAGAGATAGATCAAGATGTGTGAGTTGTGGGTAGGGGGGAAACATCACAAGCCACGTTCAGACCTACATGAAAGGGGCTGAGGCCATGAGGCCTCCTTGTAGATTCACAGATAAGAATGTTCCAGAAAGGATAGAGCTGAGTGGGGTAGTGACAGAAGGCTTGGGTAACTAAGTGTGTGTGAGGAGGTATGGGCTCTCCTTATCATCTCAGGAGAGTAGCTGCCAAGGTGAATTAACAAAGGACCAGATAACAGCGATGCCATCAGCAGCTGGACCTCAAGGGTGTGGGAAAAACAGCGTGGCCACGAGTCTCAGCTCCTCAGACCCTCGTATGCCCTAGCACAGAATCCCTGCATACTGGTATACCCACCCCTCCTGTGGACAGCAAGAGCAATCTGTGGGCTCCAAGGTCTCAGCCGGCAGAGCCCAATGTTGGGGAAAAGGATCATTGGTCCAAGGCCTTTTCAGAGCTGCCGTCATCCTAGTGACTGAGCAGTGCCCAAGCTGGGCCTGGGTGGGAGGCCTTTGGGCCAAAGACCCTATTGTGAAGTTATCCTCAGTTTTGAGGAAGCAGTCAAGCCTAGGTCCTCCCCACCATGCTAGAGAGGCCCAGACCCAGAGAGCCAGGGAGGCCAAGGCTTTGACTTCATCTGAGCATAAGACAGAAATGACTTCTCTAGACAAAGTTCCCTCCTCTAGAAGGGCCCAGGCCTGGGCAGCTGGTACAGGTCCAAAGAAAGGTAGATGCTTGTCTGCCTGGCCTTAAAAAAAAAAAAAAAAATCAGCCTTTTTCCAGCATCTCTAGGATCCTGATGGGAGGCCATGTGGCCATGAGACACATCTCACATAGGGTCATGGGAAGCCTACGAAATCAGCCACTCACAGCTCTGGCAGGGCCTTGAGGTCAGGGTGAGCCTGGGCGTGCAGCTCCACTGGTGGGCTCTGCTAGAAAGTACCTGGAAAGGGGAGGACAGGGGTGGATAGAACATTCCCACCCACACCTACTGCTGAGTCTTTAGATTGGCCCCGGGCGAAGCCTCTGTCACCTCTGGACAGTGAGAAGGATCTTTCAGCTCCAGGATTGAGGGTGCCACACAGGGTAAAGCCAGGTGACAGCCAAACCCCTCAGCAAGAGCTGGCCTGGGGGACAGGATTGGAGCCCATGACTGAACAGTGTGGTCACCACTGCACCAGCCACCAGCCAGCGCTTCTCATACCAGTCTTATGCATCTGATGGGAGACAGGCCCAGGAACAGGGTCAGATCAGGCCTGTGGCCTGGTTCAGCAGCCATGGCCGTGAGCTCACACCGGCTCCCCAGGCCAGCACCCTTGGCCCAGCCTGGTGCAGCTGCATGTTCCTGGGAACGCCTAGAGATGGGCTGCTTGGGAACACTGTGGCTGCGTCGCTATGCAGGGCTTGCCTCCAGCTGCCAGAGAGGCTGGCCTGCTGCCGGTGCTTTACTGATACAATGTGCGTCCCCCACCCCAAGTACCCCAGTCCCAGTTCATGGGCCTCCTAGAGCCAGTTTCTCTGAAGAAACTGACCCAAGGCCAAGTAAATTCCTCCAGCCCCCAGGCCCTCTCTCATCCTGTCCAGGAAGGCGCAGCCCTTAGCTTAGCCAGAATGGAGGGTAACTACTTGCTCAGCGGCTGGAATGTCACTCGGCTGGGCTCTGCTGTGCTTGGTAGTGGGAGCCTGCCCCAACCCAGTTTCAGCTGCGGCCACATTCCTGGTGTGAGCCTAGGCCAGCCAAGGAGCTTTTTCCACACTCTGGTGCCAGCCCCAGCGGGCTCAGGGGAGGGAGAGAGGGCTGTTTCTATGGCAACTTCCCTTTTTGTTATTTCTTATTTTCTTTTTTATGGTTTCTCCAACTTTGAAGCTCTCCAGACAGTTTACAGACTGTGGAAAGGAAAAGTGCTTTCCCTCCTCTGCTCCCCCCAGACCTTTCCTCCCCCAGCCCCCCAGGCCTTCTCTCCCCTCAGCCCCCCAGGCCTTCCCTCCCCCTGCCCCCAGGCCTTCCCTCTCCCGCCCCCCAAGTCCCTCCTAGGCTTTCCCTCTCCCCCAGTCTCCCCACAGGCTTTCCCTCCCCCGTCCCCTTAGGCCTTCCCTCCCCAGAGACCCCCAGGCTTTCACTCCCCCCAGACCCTCCATCCCCCCAGTCTCCTAGGGCTTTCCCTTTCCCAAGCCCCCTCCAGGGCCTCAGGACCCCACCAGACACTTCAAGCCTTCAGAGGCCCAGCTATTTCTTAAATATTTAGAGAAAATGAATGTGTTTTCTCCAAAAACAATGTAGTCAAGTATTTACAAAAAGATTCAGCCACGTGGCCTAATTAGCAGTTGGGAGCCAGGGTCTCTGTAGCTTGACCCTGAGGGCTGTCCGTACATCTGTCCTCTCCCCACACCACTGCTTATTTCAGATCCAAGCTAGATCTGAAAAGCTGGTTGCTTTGCCCTCAAACACTTGCTAACCCAACACCCATCCTCAGGATGGCAGTCTGTGGCAGGCAGGCAGAGATGACAGGGCTGAGACAGGGAAGGTGAAGAGCTTGGACTCTAGTGGTCACACTAGCCTGAGCATACCCCTGCCTGTCCCTCACAGGAGAATATGTGCTCATGGTCTCTGATGTGACCAGCCCTCCATTTCTGGGCCACAGGCTGCCCACTGCCTTCAAACACCTGCGGATCTTGGCAAAGGGGGGCACTCACTGGCCCCATGTCCCTGAAGATCACCCAGAAGCTCTAAGCTAGAGGCCACTTCTGGATGTTGGACATAAAGGAGCCAGCCATACCCTCCAGGGAAGGCCACCCTTCCCTGAATGGAGGTTCATGCTGCTTCCCCCAAGGACGACATCCTCTGTTCCTAAACAGTCTAAGAGTTGGGACTGGCCCATGTAAGCCCCACAGCTACTGACTTCAATAAAACTCTAAATACCAACCCTGAGTAGCACCTTCATGGGGCTCCTTCTAGCAGTCCCCTGGCCTTAGCACTGAAATGGGTTGGAGTCTTATGGGACACAGTTAGGGGCTCAGTGTCCCAGTGCTCTCTGGGAACCCTCATATCTGCCCTACCAACACTATTCCCAGGCCTATGGAGGTCTACATTAGATTTCTGTGATGGTAAGAACTGGGGACAACTAGCTGCCCAACATGAGCAGCCTCAAGTTCGGGTTCCCTGGCACTGCAGAGTGAAGAGGGCCTTCTTACCTGGTCATCCCCAGCAATGGTAAGGTAGGGTCAGTCATTGAGGGGAATCTCATAACTGCCACTGAAGGGGCACACTGGCTGCTGAGGAGGCCCAACCCCCTGGGTTAGCCACAAGCATCTTTTCACCAGGTCACAGGAGGTCTCTGGATCGGCCCTCTACTGTTAGCTCCTAAACTGCTTGTGAGCATCACTTCTCAAGTCTGCCCTTCCTTCAGACACAGTACATACAGCATTCCTCCTCCTCCTCCTTCTCTTCTTCCTCCTCTTCCTCCTCTTCCCCTTCTTCCTCCTCCTCCTCTTCCTCCTCTTCCTCAAGATGAAACCACATTTCTGTCAAAAGAAAAACAAAGAAAATGATGTTTCAATTTAGAAAGGAAAATGGCTGGGAGTGAGCGGCCGCAGCTGCTGTTTTCCAGCCCATCCTCAGGCAGCCTCTGGTATTTAAGTCCCCAAAAGCATGCTGAGCTTTTAAAGTCAGGAAAGTTGTAACACTATTCCGTGTGGATATGGCAGGCAGGGCTCATGCCACAGTGGCTCCTCGGCTGACATTAGGTCTGCCCTGGAAAGCGAGGCCAGGTGGGGATGCTTTCCATCCCAGAACCTTTGCAAACAGACAGCTCCAACCTAGCCAACTACACAGTCATCAGCAAACCCACCAGCCGATCAGGGTCTTGTGGTCCAGGCAAGACCCCTGGCTTCCTGCTGTACCTTCCCGACACAGCCACTGAGGTTCAGAGATAACACTGGCTTCTTATCCTTGTCGCAGGACATTAGGGGTAGCCACAACACCCAGACAGACACTGCCTCTTCTGGCCAAGCATATCTGCACCAGTAACTGCTGGTCTTCTGAGAACTGTGGTCACTGGGACTGCCCTGACCCTCCATGTGGCCAGGACAGGAACAGGTGCAGATACTCTTGTCCGTAACTCCTCCCCTGCCCAATGCCCTGCTGCCAAGCGGTCCAAGCATATGAAATTTGAACACCCAAGCAGAGTTCTAGAGCCAGGCCTGGTAATGTGTAATCCCAGCACTTGAGAGGAACATTGTCCATTCAAGTCCAGCCTGGGCTGTATAGACAGATCCTATCTTAAAACGAGAAGAGCAAAGACTAAATTCAGGATGGAGGAGATAGCTCTGTTAGTAATGCACTTGTCTTGCAAGCAGGAGGTCCTGAGTCCATTCTCCAGAGCTCACATAAAAAATAAAGCCGGGCAGTGGTGGCACACTCCTTTAATCCCAGCACTTGGGAGGCAGAGGCAGGCGGATCTCTGAGTTCGAGGCCAGCCTGGTCTACAGAATGAGTTCCAGGACAGCCAGGGCTACACAGAGAAACCCTGTCTCGAAAAAAAAAAAAAAAAAAAAGCCCCTATTGGGCTGTAGTGCAGCACTCAGGAGGCAGAGGCAGGTGAATCTCTGAGTTTGGCCAGCCTGGTCTACAGAATGAGTTCCAGGACAGCCAGGGCTACAC